ATAGTAGAATGAAGTCCAAATTAATAAAGTAAAACAACGGGAGAAATATTGAAGTAGCAATTCATAAATGGAAAGAAAATAAAGCAAGATCGTGTTGAGTAGAGTTGAGTGATGACGTAGGGAAATTAACATTGGATCCTGTTAGAATTTCTTAGGGTTTATATATGGGATGTGTGAAGAGGAACAATCATTACATATTGACAGTATTCTCACAGGTTCAAGAGAAATTTACATATAAGAGCAGTTTTCTTTATAAAAATTGCATAAATATTTTATCTGATGTATAGCTTTCTCACCATATTGTATAAAAGATTTTGCATGGGATAAACCCTTTACAAATTAGTTACCATATATGCACAAATCTTAACATCAGAAAAAGCATTTTTAGTAGAATAGATAGCTAACTCATGACTTTAAGCATGAGAGAAAAAATAAAAAATAAATGTAAATGCGATCTATTTGAATGAATGATTTTTTGATATAGCTATTTCGGTTTTTCCGACAAATATTGCAGGCTGATCATTCTGCATGTTGCATAAAAAGTGGCATCGAAGAATACAAAAATGGTCATTGCATGGTGTTTTGTACGACACATCTTGGTAATCCGCGCAATACATTGCAGTACATCGATTGTCTACAAGTTTTTGACCGTATCAAAAACTGCTATCGGGAACACCACATAGTAAATCCTAATATCCACGGTGATTTGTGAAGCATGCAGCTGAAGGAACTCTGAATACTTTATTAGGTTTGTAGAACTGTTTAAATATTTAAACAACATATTTAAGTATTTAAATATTTATCCATCGCTAAACGCGATATACCTTCGAATGAATGGCGATGAATACTGCACGCTGTTCACTACCTAAATCGAGACGATAAACGTGTCATCCGGGAAAAATCCCTGGTTTTGTTTCTAAACTTTTCATTACTGATTTTTACTTTCCTTCAAGATTTAAAGTTCATTCAATTTTCTGGCTTTCAATCTAATTTTTTTCTCTCCCGAATGATTATTCAAAGTGATTAATGCTTTCCTATATTTATCAATTGGATATATTCAGCTGATGTTATCTCGATGACACTCTCTCTCTTTCTCCATTATCAATCCATCGATATGCTCATAAAATTTATTTCTTTCCTTGCATTTATATTTATTGCCTTTTGAATTCATCATATCAGGCTTCCATTTCTAATAACTTCACTTTATTCAAAAATTAACTTGTTAATTTTTTATCTTAATCTCTACCCATAGTATTTTGTGGAGAACAGAAGAGATTTGAAAATTTGAAGAATAATTTTGCAAATTGCAGAAGCTCATTTTTTCATTGTGCTCACAACAGCAGGTAAGAATTTATTGAATCTCTTTGGTTTATTACTTTATTCAGATGTATGAATCACTAATTGCTCTTAGTTCAATTCAATTTTCTTGTTGTACAGATGATGGGAATGAATCTTCTCATATCAACAATACAAATTTGTTTTTATCTTATGTAGCGAAAAGTATTTTCTTTGAGTTGATTGCATGCACAATCAAATATGATGATAAAGGTTTGATGGGGAACTGTTTCTTTTTTGCGTTACAAGACGGTCAAATGAATACTATGGGTAGAGATTTTTGGGAGATTGTTTTTCTTTTGCTTGTCGGGAAAGCTGTTTTATTGAAATTGGAACCGAGAATCGATAGCACAGTTTATAAGAGACAATAAAATGACAAATTTACGAACAAATTTTTTAGAGAGACGACAGAAATCTAGATCGATAGATACATAAATAGATTCTTAATCGTTAGTTCTTAGTCTTGTACAAAAATACTTTGAAGATATGTTGTATTTTCATATTATAAAAATATTTCGTGCTTTCACGACATCTAAAGCTATCATAATTCTTCATTAGGTAAATTTTGCTTTATGTAAAGAAGATATTTAATAACACTAGTTTTCAGATATTATTGCAACGTTGGAATTTTATTGGTCAGTCATATGTGACATATTGACATTCATATGACTTTTTTTAAACAATTACAAATACTAAAATGTGTAATAAAAGACTGTGCCTCATTATAAGGCAACCAAAAGATAATAAGCTTGCTTTACTGAACAAAGCCAAATAGAAGTGGTATAGGATGACCTTAACTGAATTAGTGGCTTTTTTAGCTCTTTTTTTCAACTTGGTGTTGAGTACTTCTGTAATACAATCCCTCCCTTAAGAGATAATCTACTACAAAAAACTAAATAAAAATAGTACATCAAATTTAAAAGGGAATTTGGTTTTATTTCGAAATATTGGTACTAAATATAGGTTGTAGAAGAATACGTCTTGATTTTCTCCTAGTCTGGCTACCGGTAGACTATCTTGAATATGGAAATCGATTAATAAGTTCGTCTTGTCCGGTCAATGATTTGCTATCTATTCAAATGAGGAAAGTTCAAGTATCCGATATCAAGTAGACTACAGAACTGAACAACATCTGATGAAAGCTGTAACACTTTGAGGACAAATGGAAAATAAAGCAATTATGGAGTGTTATGTCGAGAAGCCTCCGTCATTCAATAACAAAACAACCGCTGAAGAAGACTGACTGCCCATTAACAAAACTAGCCAAACAAATTTAATGAAACAATACATCGCTGATTATGGACACTTCATTGTGAAAAATGACCTCCTCTGATCGATAATTTCAAGAAGTGAAAAAAGGACAAAGCCAAAGTGACAATCAATCTATCTTTTGCGACAGTGGATACGCTCAACGCTAAGGAAAATTGGAGAAATATTTGCTTAGGCTGAAGTAAACAAAAACAGAATAGTTGGCAGATCGTTTTTTCCGGAAACAGTTTCTACAGGAAGTCAATGCATCACTGAGTGTTAGGTTGTAAAGATAACAATGCCTTTCATCAGTTTAAAAAAACATATATTCAAACTGTTTAACAGTACAGTTCGACATGTCTATAAATTTCCATGTATAACGCAGTTTTAAAAAAGGGAGCTGAAACGATCCCGAAAAATCGAATTGCGAGATGAGCAGTTCAGGTTGGATATTATAATTTCAAGAGTCATCCATTCAGACTCCAATGAGATGCGGCACTTAGTAGTGTCCTCCTTCGAATCAGACACAAACACCTCCCGATCATTCATTGCTTAAATAAGGAAGAACTGAACCTTGCCTCTGCAATCAGTGTAAAAAAACTGCATGCAATTGTTCGTTACGACTTTAAACATGTCATGTAAGTGAAATAATTTATGCTGTCTTCAAGAGGAGTGATTAATTTACGGAATAAAAGAAAAACAGACGCAGCTGAGGAATGCAAATGAGGTTTAGATGCTTTTTTAGAATCAGTAACTGCAAACTAATTCAGCAGTACATGGCATAAAACATTTATTGGCCTTACGAAACGCAACTGGATCTTGTTAAGCCAATCACATTCGATGGTAACATGTAAATTTATTACTCTATGATATGATTGAAATGAAGAGAGATATCCTTTTCCGGTTTCCATTTCAAATGTTAACAAACTTCTAGACTTCTAGATGTTTCAGTCACATCTCATTGGGATATTCGCAGAAGCAAAATTATAAATCCCGCAACGACTCTTCAATGAAACAGATGTCACACTTATGGTATGTGACAACATCTTACAATATAAATAAAAATGTTTATTACTATTCTGTTAAAAAATACTTCAAAATTTTGGGAAGATGTTTGATCGAAGAACAATATAAAAATATAAAAAATAGGACAATGAATGGAAAAAAAGGTACCTAGAAAGGGAAATTAGAAGATAAGTAGAAAGGAAGACGGAAGTAAGCAGTACAGGTTGTCATACCTTGTCATCTAAACTCTCAGAGTTACAGCCTTGTTTTATAAAAAGAGGATCAAAACGAATTCAATGAAATGCTTAACCACTGATAAAAAGAAAAATAAATATAAAAAATTAATACATCGTATTTGGAATCACCAAAGCAGAAAAGGAAATTGAAAACATACCCGAATATATGGAATGATAAGGAAGTAAGACAGGATAGATAGGACAAATTAACAATGAATTATCACTCTAATACCAACAGCTATAAGATAAATATTAATTTCATGCAACAATTCCATTATTGGAGCTGCCCATCTAGGCATGAATTAAACATGTGACTTAGCAAGAAATGATATCTTACAAACAAGTAAACATTATGTTGTTCCAATGAACATATAAGGTACCTGTTAGAATATAAACCGTTAAACGGATAACAGAAACTAAAATGGATGAGTAATGAGTCAGTTTGAATAATAATATTGCATTTTAAATATTCAGCACCTGATGTGATATGGAATAATTGACGACGGGAATTCGAGATAATCATTCAATAAACTTGGCCAATAAACTATTTATTTAGCTCATTGAAGAGATATAGTGACCCGGACTAGCAGACCTAAACCTACTTACCTAATTACCTGAATTGTGATTAACCTGAATTATCACCTTAAACTAGAAAGTTCTAGGGAATGACAAAACGATATAAAATTACGAACCTACTTTCATCCGGTTTCGTAATTCTTCCTTATTCTTTGATAATTGGAAGTTATTACAATTATTCCTTCTTGCTCCATAAAATCATAAAATTTTATAGTTCCTCACATTTTTTCAAAAAATACGGCGCAGTTTTCACAAAATGGCATACCAAAAGGAATTTTGGCAAAAAAATTTTACGAATTTAGGGTCTGAACTGAAATTCAGAAATTGTCTCGAATCTTTGGTGGTTCCAGAAGTTTCTCTCAAAAAAAACACCTTTTATCAGTGAACTTTTTTAATAGCGTCACCAGCTGTTGGTCGAGACAAAAGTACTATCGGCTGAGAACGTGACTGTCGACAACTCGAAATGACAGAGTTTGCGAGATCTAAGTCGTCATCATCGTAACTTTCCAAGGTTTTTTTCGAAATTGACAAAATTTTAAATGTTTGAGAAGCAGTTGGAACAGATCCTGAAATATGATGTTCACTATCAGCTCTGGTTGCAATGTGACAGTGCATAATATAGGAATTTGGTTCAGAACTAGATATATTAATGAGTTCTGCACTGGTTCCTGCACTGGTCACGGTATGATAGTGCATCTCGTGTTGTCGATGTTGACGTGCACCTGCAAGATAAATACATTATAGAATGTGAAAAATAAGCAAAGATTGCATGAAGGAAATGAATTTGATCAATTTAGGTTAATTATCCCGTGAATACATATGTGATAAAGTTTTTTGATGGTATGAACACGGACGTGTGTAGTTTATGCATTTGTCCATAAAAATTTGAAGTCTTGAAAAGTTCCAGGACATCAGAACAGACTGACCTGATTGCATCATTGTATCATCACTTCGAGACTGAACCAATGTTATGCGATTTAAATTGTCCTGCTCCACCAAATTTTGCTGCCAATTATTGTTAGTGTTTGTCAAATTTATAATATTTTGCGGTATTGCTGAGACCGCTACAGGAGGATTTTTCGATGGTAATGTATCAGGAGGAGAAATAAGATTGTTGTTACCAGATGAACTTCGAATCATCATCTCATTCCTTGATGATTTGCTCTCTTTGTTACGTTTAGGCCAAACAAACCATTTCGGCGTTTCTTCAATTTCAATGCGCTGAAATGGTAATTAAACTGTTAAACTGTTTGTCTGGCTTATATATAAGGGAGAATTAATAAAATATTCAGGGAATGAACCGTCAAAAACAATCCATTCCACAAATAAACAGCTTATTATCAATGTAAACATAATGATCGATACGATGTTGTGACCATTGTCACTTGTCATTTATCACTCCAAAAGCATCGTTATACTTCCTTTCATTAATTCCATTACATTTTAAGTATAACTGTATGAAATTAAGATTCATCTCTTCTCTTATGAGAGCAGTTTTTCTTCAGAAAGCGATAAGCTTTATAATTATTGTTTACAAGTGAAGTGATATGTTTACAAAGTGAAGTCATGTCGAAAAAAGATCATCGAAAATTCCAATTGCATCTAATCAGCTGATCAGTTTGCTAAGTGTACAGGGAATAAGAACTGTTTACAGTTTGTCCGATGTCTGTTCTCAAACATACCCAAACATTGGTCATTTGCCAATAAACAGGCAATAACCTTCAACTTTTTGCTGTGATGCAGAAATGCTCACAGGTTGTTGTTGGTTGTACTTTGATTTCTGTTACTGGTTTCCTTACGAGCAAGAATTTGTTTATTATACGAGTGATAAAATAATAACATATTTATATATTTCGTTAAATTCGATCGTGATGACCAGTTTGCTGCACATGTGTATCAGTGTGACCACAGAGATTGTGTCAAATGCCAGTAATCAGAGATTTAGCAAAAGTAGAAATTTTTCGAAATTTTTCATAAAATTTGGAGGTTTGGATTTCCATAAAACTAAAAAATTGAAATGTATTACATAGCATCCAACTGAAAATTTTTCTTACTAAATAAATTACGCTGATAATAGTTCTTCAATTCATTTAATATAAGCTACCATTATTATTATCCTTCTGGAACTTTAAGAACTTTTTAAAAACTCGATTTTTCTTTAAGAAAACTCAAATTAAACTTCTACATATTAAGAAGTTCCAATCATCAACCACGGGTCAAACAGTATAATTTCTCTTCCCGATATCACGCAGCCAAATTTTAAAGTGGAATGTTCTATTTCATTTGTGATAAGACTGATTTCGATATCGAATTTCCTTCTTCTCCTAATATTCACTTGGAGATTACAGCATGCATACACAGGAGTGAAAAACTGTGAAAAGTTAGGAAAATGTTCATTACAACCTTTCTAATTCGGATTATCGAAAGACACCGCCAATTAACTCGAGTATGACTTTTCGGATATTTCATCTTTCAGTCTCTATTTTATGTAAACTATTATGATTTCGGAAAAAGTCAATAACAAATTTTGCCTATTAAAACTTTTTGGTCAAGATAGAGCATTCGGATTAAGTCTTGAGCGATAGCTGTTCAGAAACCTAAAGACGATAGCTGTTCAGAAACCCTGTTCAGAAACCTAAAGGCGATAGCTGTTCAGAAACCTTAGCTTTTTTGTTTGTTGTAAACAGTTATAAAAACAACTGTTACTTTGTAAAAAGGTTGAAATTATTTATGATATAAGTACTGATCATCGATGATAATGATTGTGTCACCAAATTATAATGGTATCATGAAGTGTCATACGTGAAACATGTATTCGAATAGACAGAGGCTACAACGATTTTTATGGTATAAATAAAAATTGTTACGTTGATTTTGTGACATTTGGTTTATTCATCTCCCATAATTTAAAAAATTAAATTAAAATGGTACCTTGAAGTGGAAATCCCGTCTGGGTAAAGTGGCAGCTGAAGAAATGGTACCACCAGTTACCACATTCGTTTTCCATCTCAAACCACCTTCAACCATAACACTGATACTAGAACATGATGGTCGCATCGAACTGTTCGTCACTACAGCTTTGCTAAATTCGGCACTATTCCTACCACCGTTGTTGTTGCTGTTGTTGTTGTTGTTGCCGGTCACTCCATTGTCACTATTGTAGTTGTCGTACAAAGTCATTATCATTGCTAGTTCCGATGTTGGTAGTTTTACTCTTAAAAATGAAGTTTCATACGAAAGAAATAAAACAAATAATTCAAATTTTCATTTCAAATTTAAAAAATTTCGTGAATTAGAGTGAGACATGGAATTTTATTACCAACTTTACCAATCAGTTATGGAATTTCATGAAGAATGGACGAGATTTTGGAATAAAAGAACTACGTGGAAAATGAAAGGAGGGAAAGTGTTCCAAATTAGATTTCCTATTAATCAAAAATGAATCCGACTACTTGAAATTACTGATATCTGTAATTTATAAATTAGTCGTTATACATAAATGAATGCACTGAAAATCCGTCATAATGGTGGTTATGAGTGATGGAATTCAACAAATCGCAGCTGCATTAAACGGATAATATACCAAGCACGAAATGCATAAGGAAAAAGAAAGCTATAGGGAATTGAAGGACAGGGAATGACGGTTAGAATATGAGGAATAATGCGATGATGAATTTAAGTCCGTATTTGAGGTCAGGTATACTCGAGGCTAATTATCCCCGAGACCAACTATCCTCGAATTCAAAAGTGATACTTTTTGAATTCTCAGAAAACGAACTTCTTTTCTAGCAACTAAACTCTGAAATCGTCAACGAGCCCGAATGAACAGACATGATCGATGACACTGCTTTTAAATAAACCGAAAGAGGAAAATTCAATTGCTTTGACAGGGTTATAGGTCATTCACTAGTTTATTGTTCACCAACCAATGTTGTGTCTGCCGATCAACAATGAAACTAATTTGCGTTCAGGCAACACAAGAAATGATACTAACACAAAAAATTATTTTTCGAGTGAAAATAATAAAATTTGAATTTGGACTGTAAGTAATGAAATATTAAATTAATTCATGAAAAAAGATAGGACAGAGAAAGAGACCTCTAAAAAAAGAAAGAAAAAGAGATAGAGAGCTCTAAACAGCTTTGGAAATTGTTGCTTGCCTTTATTTAATTTTTACTTTTTTAAATAAATGACTCTTACAGCAACTCACATAAACCTGAGGATCAATACTTGTCTAATATTGCAATAGAAATGAAATAATAAAATTGGGGTGATTAAGTTAATATAATAACAATGAGAACGATAGCTGTGTTCAAGGAACATAGGGATATGAGTACTAAATTAATTAAAAAAGAAGGAATAAAGATGACTGAACTGTTCGACATTAGCTATCTCACTACTTCCGTGATTAGGCTTAATAAACCATTTCTGTTTCGAATTTTCGCAAATTTAATTAACGTTGAAAAGTTGAGAATAAAAGGAAAAAAGCAAAAACTTTGCAGGATCATAACATAACAACATTTAATTGGAATGAATTACAATTAAAAATAGGAAAAATTGTACGGAATTGCATTGAATAATAACCTTACATTGACACAGATCGCTGAAATATGACATTGGTGGTAGTGCCAATGGAGCGCAATAAGGTCGTATCTCTGCGAAGAGTTGCTTTCCAAGTAACATTGAAACCACACTACTAGAGATCGAGGCAAAACTGAAGAGGATTCCAGAGATATGCAAGAAATTTTAATCATAATGTGTGACCTTTCTGATCTGCCGACATCCATCGGTTTACCTGATCTATGAATTCTTCTAAAGTAATGAGCATCTCCTGCTCAGCAGTCTTGAAAAGATCTAACCCTTTAGCAAACTTGTAATCATATGTAAAAAACACAACACGTGTTAAGAAAATGATGTGCCAAAGTATTTTCCAGAACGAGACAAATTTTGCAAAAAATTTGAAAAATACGGACGGTCAGAGCTTGACAATGTTTTGAAAAAAGAAAAAGTTGTCCACTTGTTTCTTCATTCCTGATTGAATTAGTTGTCACTCAATAATTCATTTCCGAATACTAAGCGATTAAAAGAAGTCGTTTTATCGAGAATGCGTCACTTTACATCTGTTCAACTTATGGCAAAACAATTGAAAACAATACTGAAAAGCGACTGTTACCAGTAAAACAGTTCAGGAAATTATGATAAATCACTATGAAGAAGTAGTCAAAGATAAACTGCAGATGACAACTATTGAAATCAAACGCGACAGCTACATTTGCTCGCCATGATTTTGAAGATTACTCTCAATGTACAATTTCTAACAAAAAAAGGAACCACTTCGAATTCTACTCAGATAGACCCCAAAAATGATTCACCAGGCAGGAGAATTCTGAACACTACTTCTTACAACAATTTTTTCTAAACAGATATTTTTATTGGTTACTGTTCCAGGTGATAATTAACAAACAATGCGTCGGTATTTATGACCAGTCAACCAGTCACTTCCCTCGCCTCTCCACTTTTTCAATTAAACAGAAAAGAGATAGAGAGTAAATATCATTAAATGATGAATAAAAGAGGTAAGACAAGTACTGCTGATAATTTACGCTTGCTCTAAAGGTGGGTAAAATGAAAACAGATTCTCGACAATTACATTTTCCAGCCGTTGATGCTAGTAATTGAAGTGAAGAGTTTTATTGGATTGCAGCCACCAGGAATATGGTATATTGTGTTCCTCGTTTTCAAATGAGTTAAAATACGCAGAAACTTCATTTTCATAAAAAGTCGCAGTTATCGCACTTATCGCTGAATGAATTAAGTGTGGAAAAGAGATTTGTAGGACATGGTAAATGATTGCAGTTTCTTTTTTGCAGAAAAAAGAAAAGAAAAAACTTTCAGTTAGTTTGAGATACGATGGAGAAAGAGTACAAAATAAAAGTCTAGTTGAAAGGGATACGATGGCGAGAAAGGGATAAAGAGAGAAAAGGGAAAGGACTGAAAGGATCTGGCTAACAGACGATGGCCATAATATTTCTTCAAATGGGAAGTGGATGGGAGATGAACGAACTGAAGGTATGGTTGAGCGAGTAAATAATTCATGGCATCAGTTGTGACACGTTCGCTTTACTTCTATCAAATAAACTTCCACCAGTCACTTCCAGCCAGCCATTCATTTAGAGCCGTAATTCTTTGTACGCATATAATCTTTCATAATTCTTTACTCTTCCATCGCCTTCTTTTTCTTTCGAAGTACTTTTTTCCCGTCAAGAAGTTGAAAAAAAGGTAAGTCTAAGTTACTTGACAACTTCTGATGACCCATTAACTATCATTCGAAAAAGAAAATAGAAGAGCAATAGGCGAGATGATGACGAAGATAAAAGTGGTAGCGAACGACATGGTAAATTAAGAATTGAATTTCAAGTTTAAATTGACAGGAAAATTTAGATCAAATAGATATCTTATTCAGTATGTGCTTTACGTTCAGAAAGAGATATCTATTCGTCGTAGCAAATTTTCAATAGAAGTTTTACAAACACGAAGTCAGCGTCTTCACTTTGATTTCAATTCTTTATTCGACAACCCTGGAGATTTCTTTAGAAATGCATGAAACATGCACGTCCAGACATTCCGATGACGCTAAGAAAAACTTTCATCTAAGACCGTTTCGCTGTGTTTAGACACGTATTTGAACTGCTTGTTGAATTTTATTTCTCAAGATAATTAATGATTAATGGATCCACTATTATAAAGAAAATCGAAAAGAGTAAAGTTGAAGAACAAATGTAAAAAGCTCAATTTAATTGAATGAATTTCATGAGAGTGAGTGGGACAAACGGTAATAATTAACCGAAAAATGGAAGCAATATTTTGGAATCGCTTATAATCTGCTATCCTAATAGTGTAAACTCTTTCTGATCAGATAATAATTCTGGAAAAATATTCCGAAAAAGAGAATTCCTTGGCATAAGACATGAATTAATTCTGCATGCAAGAAAACAGAGTTTTCAATCCAGATCCAGTAAGAGGGAGGAGCAAATGGTCAGAGAGAAAGTGAAGAGACAAGGGATGAGGTCGTCGAAGTTGTTGGAACAGAGGGCTTCTCTTCCGCAATGTCATAATGGCTACTCATCCATGTCAACATCCCTGACAATCTTCCATCCATCTTTTTCGAGTACACTTCAGAGCGCTCTATCTCGAATTGGCGCCAGGATAAAGGCATGAAGTGGGATGTTTTTGCAAGAGATTCAAGAATACATCGAGAAACGATGTAAGAGCTTGTGCATAGTGATTTTCATATGAAACAGAGCTTATTTCAACGACCCAACTTTAATATTTTAAAGAGAACAACTGTGCTATTAATGGTCCAGGTGGGATATCTTTCCAGGACCATTTCTTACAAGCATACAAAACCTCAATCCAAACTTAAAGGAAGAGATATAAGTGACATTGAGAGTGCACAATTCTCTAATTCTCGGAAGAAATCAACTAACATTTAAAAGCTGTTAATATCATTATTTATCAAATGGCGAAAAAAAGCTTCTGTTGGTGAAATATGACAGCAAAGATGCGAAAATCATGAAGAAAATCATAGTTCAGAAATGAATTCTTGCAAAAAGAAAATTATATTAAAATATGATTCAAAATTCTAATCAATAAAATGTTTGTTCGAAAAGAAATCCATCAAAAATGACGAAAATGTGAACGGTCAGAAAGATAAAAGTTATTCTGGTGGTTACAATATTAGAACAGACAATCCCTAATGGTACATTTTTGTAATAGCAAAATAAGTATATTATATCTAGAAGTGGTGGTGTCCGTGATGATAGTTAGATGGAAATCAGTTTAAAAAGAACCCAACAAAAGGCTCCCAGACATTCGATAATGAAAAATGAAATGAAAGCTATTCGTGAGCACTGCTCATTTTAATGGTGGATTAAAAATGCAGTTGAAGGAACGCAAAAGGATGATGCAAATGGAGCGCAAATTGAAAACACTCTCGATGTTTTCACTGGCATATTTCATCAAACAAAATTTGCCTAACATGTTGCACCGATAAGCTCATCATTTGCATGGCATTAGTTTTGTTTCCTAACGACTCTCTTAATTAAATGTCTCACTCTTCCATTAACTGTCATTTGGTTTTACTGAAAACTATTCAGCGATTTCAGTATTCCATCGATTTTAGAATTATCCGTTCACTCATTTCTTCGCTGTTCTTTCATTTCATTTATGGATTTAATAGCAACTGCTTCAGATGAAAATACAACAAAATATGATTGCAGATACGTGAGAATAGGTGAGCGACCGTAAATATTTATTCCGATTGCGCAATAAACAAAATTCGTGATCAAATTTAGTTTGCGCATTAAAAAGACCACTAAATTTGATTAGCTTTTAAATAAGTTTCAGAATATTTGTAACTTTTTTAAGTGTCTGATTTCTTTGACACTGTCACCTTCTTTATCTACCTGTAAGCAGTAAATCAAGAGGCAAGAGTTATTGAAAAGTTTTTTTTCGTTAAAAAATTTAATTTTAAATAGGATAACAAGACCATTAAATGTCAGCAGTCATATGCAATGATTTTCGAAATATTTGCCTATGTTTTAACGTCACCAAATAGCACCAAATTGTTGACTGCACTTTCAGTGCACTTAAAAACAGCAGCTAATAGCAAAAAAAATAGTTCCTTCGTGCAATTGAACTTTAATTTGAAAAATAAAAGGAAAGAAAGACGCAAAAAATATGTGAACTGATATATTACTGTACAGCTGTTCACAGATTGTCATCAAGATCGAATTGTAAAGTACTACTGAGAATATGCACAATTTGGAAAGAAACAAGCGGAAAAGTGGATAACGCCAATTCCGGAATTTAATATTATTTAAAAATGAAACTGACCGTTAATAACAATAAGTTTTTGAAGGAGGAATATTCTGCGGACTGGAGTAATAGCTGGAAGTAATCAATTGATTAACGAAATTTGGATTAGTGGCAATAATTAGAAACATTTAATTTGAAAGAAGGAATGATTTAGGAAATCCTGAAAACTAATACGTTTTGGAGAAATTGTTGAAAACTTTAAAAATGCTTTGTGTTCAATCTGCAAAACTTTCATCTCTTCCTTTTCTTTGATATTAATGCTCTGAATGATCGAGTTCACTCTGCATTGAGCTCACAATAAGGAAGCAAAATTAAGGTTTAATAAGAGAAAAATATTGCACATTATTTCAATCAGTTATTTCATGATACCGTAACCGGACACTAGTGGCATATCAACACAAAACTGACCATCAGAATAATTGAAAGTGATGAACTTTACAAGATCAGTAAATATAAATCAGCATTTTCGACTTACGCTTCCCTTGAAAAAGTGTGACGACGAACTCGAGAAGTTTCAGAAGAAATAATTCAAAATTTCTTGGATGCAGAGTCCAAGAAATGCTCATTTGGAAGAGATTGAACCAATGCAAATGGAACGCTGAGAGATGTGAAATTCAGTCTGCGCTTAGCGCTCAACAGTCTTATCGTGTCCACTCAGTCACGAAACCAAACTGAAATATCTACAAAAGGAAATGGAATGGAAGGAGGACTCAGTTGAAACTTTCTTTAACTTAAAGAGATGTGAGTTACTGAATGGTTCAAAGGTTGCGTTACAGAAAAAAAAAAAAAAGAAAAACAGCGGGGAACATAAAAGATGAACCTGAAGCTCAAAATTCAGTATTTTCAGTCATATCATCTATCATACTGTGGAAACATTGAGATAACAACTAAAATGATGTAACAGTACTCAAGTCTCATTGAAGTGGAAATCTCGGAAATCCCGCAACTCCGCCTGGAACAGTTGTCAGACTGCATAAAATTAATTAAAGAAAAGAAAAGAACCAAACCATTGTCAATTTCAAAGCAAAATAATTTTAGAGCGATTATAAAGAAATAACCAAGAAATTTTACAACCAGAAATACCATTAATGAGAATTAAGCTACATTTTGCCACCAACGTGATCAGATTGATGTGTCACCTAAATCAATGACCAATTAATGTATCTAATAAAATCTAATCTAAATACCTAACCTTGTCTTTCAAAACAACAGTATGTATAGCAAACTAATACCAGATTATAGCATTGCCAAACAATTATTTAAAGGGTCAATATTTCAAATAATTCGAATAGATTTTACGAAATGTTTAAAACAAAACAACAGCAAGGGAGAAGTTTGGGAAGAGACTTTGTGCCATTGAGAGAACTTCCATAAATATATAATGCAGGAAAGAAAGTGAACCAAAAATCAAGAAAAAAAGTAGCGGTGTTTTTCATCTTTTTATTGGTAGTACAAATCATCTTCCGGTGAGAATAAAAGCGGCAGTAGAAATCAGTTTAAATTAAAACCTGTTAAAAAAACAAACCGCCAAGAAAGAGGAATAATTAATTAGCAACAGATAGCTAACCAGAATAACATAAAATACTTTTAACAACTTAATTTCATCTCAGTGAAGAATTATAGGGAAGTGACAAAGGGAGAGATAGGTAAAACAGAGCGAAAGTGTCATTTTTTTTGTCATTATAAAAACGAACTGCGACAAAAAAAGTAAGCCTTGCGGTCTTGCTGTAGGTTTGGCAAGTTTTAAGAAATTATAAAGAGCAGGGATAAATATTCACTAGTTGGAACAAGGCATGAGTTAATTGCCTCAAAGGCATTCATATGTAGTGGTTTAGGTAGCATTCGAATAAAAAAAGAAATATTTCTAGTTTTTCAGTAAGGAAATAAAAATAGCAATAGACAAGTGTTATTGGTATATTCTCTTGAATAAGAATAATACATACTAATTCTTCACAAAAAAGATGGGCAAACACCAGTTCTAACTCATCGGTTACCTACCAGAAAAATGAAAAACTTCTTGATTGTCTCAGACATGAATATCTGTCCACCAATTCAACCCAGTGTCATTCCTGGAATCGAGAAAGTTGCAGCTACCAAACACCACATTCCATCAGTGAAGTTGAAGACCAGTCTAGGCCTTTCATTCCATTGCATACTAGCATGCATGTTTGTATGTTGGAATCAGAGGGCCTGCTGCAAGATTAAATAACAATGCGTAGCAATAAGGTCCAACTATTAATATATTTTACAGGGCCCATATTAAACATCCGTTTTACATTGAAACCCAAATCCTTAAAATTATCTAGCTTATATTTCTTCGCATTCAGAAATTATGCTAGTATGACAGTACAACCAATCATCTCCGAAAATTTTTTTCTATTTTTTCACCTTTTAGTTTTGGGAAGCAAAACTACCCTTTATTAGCTTATCCAATTCAATCTGCTCTAACAATTACTCAGTTTTTGTCCAAGAACAATTCCCGACTTAAAACCAACACTAAGGATGAATTCATTAAACGCCATTAAACGCCGATAACCAGTGCATTCACGAAGATATTGTTCCACATTAAGCATAAAGTTCAATTTCTGCAGTATTAACTATAGAAATTATGATTGTTATTAGTGAAAAAATAAAGAAAAACCCACAAGAAATGAAACCATGGATACTAAAAAAGACAAAACAAACTAACGTCACGAGATATTTACTCAGCTGATCCAATTTAATTGGAAAAAAATTTTTTCTGAACATTATATATAAAACAATCAGATAAAAACACTGCAACATACCGTATTGATAGATTATTTCAAAAACAATCATCAAATGTCATACAACTTTGAAATTATTTTCACCAATATGAAGCATCAAAAGAGCAGCAACAAGTGCAACAATCAATTTCTTAGATCTACAAACTTTAACAAATGCACAAAAGTTCTTGAGAGCTGTAATAAAAGGACAGCGAAAAGAATGTCGGAATAACCGAAATACTTCCATGTTAAAATAATCAAAATACTTTTGTATTATAGAAATATCTCGGAACAACTGAAGTTTTTAAAATGAATATTGTTTTATTTAGAATATTTTGCAGACAAATGATTCATCACATCAAAAGAAGTAGAATGAAAGTTCATGTCCAAAGTGATAAATCATTTAGCCAACTCTCACTGATTCACTTAAATTACTCAAACTATGTGCTTCGATTCGGTTCAGTTCAGTAATACCATCTATACGCAAAAGAAATCCACATTAAATTCAATTTTATCAAATTTCCCCTATAAGCGACGACAAAAAACAACCTGTGATCGACTCTATTCGTGATATTCTCTGATAATTGTCTTATAACGCATACAAAAAATAAATCCAAGTTAACCAATAAGACCTTTACCACAATTATTTGTTTGCCCAGCCGTTAAAAAAACTTGCATGATGGAAAATATTAGAATGAAAAAGTTGGGAAATTGTCGGAATGCAGTAAAGTGAATACTCGAAATAATAAATGACAGTAATAATATGCTTAAGTTTAGGATAGCCATGCAGATTGGCTAGAAAAAAAAAACCCGATTGATGATCGTATACTGCAGAAATAATTCTGTCTACCTGTAAGGTATTTTATTGAAATGGTTGTTACATAACAATGAAATGAGCGTAAAAATGATGTTATGGGTTATTTCCAAAGTTGTAGTTAAAGTATGTTTCGTGGTTATTGAATCGAATCCATGTTAGTGTGACGCGTCTGTCGAATGCCTTCATGTTAAATTTGTTGGTGATTTGTGGTTTCCACCATTGCTCGGGATATCTGTTGGTGGTTATTATTATGGCTTTACTGTTGAACTTCTGGAAGCCGTCTTTTGTTTGCACTTGATAAGGCTTTGAGTCGGCAAGGTTGAATATTTCATTTGGCGACATCCAGCCGTAAAAGTCATCTATGATTACTAGTTCTTGTTGTGCATATCCGTCCCACCAAACTACCAAGAAATAGGAACAAGACCACAAGAAAAAAAACAGAAAAGGAAAGCAACTGACGAATACAACGAACTACTAAAGAAATACAGAAAAAAAGAAATTACATTAGAAGAATTCGGACAAGAAAAACCTGACTATGTTATGGAGTATAAAAAACGCATAATCGAATACGCACAGAGATACATACCAGACAGAACCCATATAACCGAATTATATCTAATCATTGGCGAACCGGGTATAGGCAAAACAACATCCGTCACATCACTAACAAAAAGTTATTTCATTAAAACGAGCAATATGCAAAAGTGGTGGGACGGATATGCACAACAAGAACTAGTAATCATAGATGACTTTTACGGCTGGATGTCGCCAAATGAAATATTCAACCTTGCCGACTCAAAGCCTTATCAAGTGCAAACAAAAGACGGCTTCCAGAAGTTCAACAGTAAAGCCATAATAATAACCACCAACAAATATCCCGAGCAATGGTGGAAACCAGAAATCATCAACAAATTTAACATGAAGGCATTCGACAGACGCGTCACACTAACATGGATCCGATTCAATAACCACGAAACATCATACTTTAACTACAACTTTGGAAGCAACCCATAACACCATTTTTACGTAAGGATATTGCCTGAAAATTACTAAATTGATGAGAGGAAGTTTCTGAACTGAAAAAGGGATATCAATTAATATTCATGTTAACGCCCGAAGGGACAAACAACCAACATCATTTGGAAAATGAAGTGAATAGTACAGTAATTCAGTATAAAAATCATGTAGAAGTAAAAAAAAAAATCTCGAACTGTTCATGAGAAAACATAAAAGTTTTAAATTTTAATGCCAAAAATATATTTGCAACTAAAATACCCGTATTCTAATTCAAATCAATCGATTATTAATCGTACCAATAAATCAACAGAAGTGAAGAGTTCCTATGCTTAAGAAAATAAATTTTTAAGATTATTGACCTACTTTAAAAGTCTTTTTCAACATATGCAATGCCAGAGCCTTCCAAGAATATTAAAAAATAATAATAATAAACTTAAAAACCAAAACTACCAAAAATAACAAATGAAATTTAACAACAGTATTTATGCCAGTTTCTTATACCAAAATCGAGCTCTAAAATCATCACTGCCTGTAATAAATGCTGGCATTGTTGGGGAGTGCCTGAATGTTCTCGTTGCCGCTGTATGCCCTAAAAAAAATCACATACATCATTCAAACTGGGAAGAAAATGAATCAGAATTTTGACCATTAAAATAATTTATGTAGTGTGTTAATACGAAACAAATTACCGAGCGCCAAAAGTCTTTTTCTATCCGAGTTACGAGCATCCCATGAACAAAGACTGCCTGACTTTTCATCCGGGAATAGTACTGCAATAAATGACGTAAAAACTTTTAAAAAACACAAAAATCGATTCAAATGGTAAAAAGAAAACATATATTTTTTGTACAAGTAGTAGTACATGTGACTCAAACATCATGTATTGCATAATGTGATCAGGAAGCTCTGAGTAAATGTAAGATTCAGAACGAATTTACAAGAAAAAACTATTACAAATGCATACAAACCATAGTCTTCATTATGATTAAAAGATGCTTGTATTGGATACTCCTGCACACCAGTAGCACCAGCTCCTGTATATGCTATAAGACATCTGTTTGTTGACAGCTCCCAGAGTTTAACGATACTGTCCAAGCCGCTAGTTAATATATACTGCAATCTCACAGATAACTATTTCCAAGCATTCCGAAAATATTATAAAAAATTTGGATTTGAGAGTAAAATTATAAATTGTAATGCACTAGAATAGAAGTAGACTGGCAAATGAATTTGACTGATATGACTTTATACGCAAGAAAAAAAGAAAGGCATCATTTTTTTTTAAGAATATTTGTCTTGAACGAAACAAATGTAACTTTGATCTGGATAAAAAAGCACAACGAACTGGCATAACTGAAACTTGCAAAAAGATATACTTTCCCATTTCTTGTAAAAGCAGCACTGCATATCTGAGCACCATCGTGAGCTCGTTGAAAGGTTTCAATACAGCGATTTGAAATACCATCCCAGACTTTCACATCCCCATCCTTTGAACCTGTCACATAAAGCCGGGCATTTTCTGAATAATTCACCTAAAACAGACCAAGATTCATGACTTGTTTTCATAAATAGGGCCATTTATGAAACAAATTCATTGTAAATTTGTTTTGAACGAGTGGAATATGCAGTTGAAGTCACATCGTGCTCTGGAAAAGAATTCAAAATAAAAATAAAGGAAAAACAAACATCCATAATGGTGTCACGGTGCTGATCAGTGGGGACACTACATACATAGCATTGTTGCGTTTCGATGTTGTACAAGCGTAAAGTCGGATGGCTGGTTGCTACCAATAAAAATTCACCAGCTGGATGGAATGAAAGTGCTCGTATTGGTTCCACTTCCTCAATAGATGTCATTTTTTTTTCTTTTTAAAATTTAGGAACAAAATACGATAGTATACATATTCTCTGGGCATCTCGTTAATTACACGAATATTATTAACCATTGAGTAAATAGTGAGACTGCTACAGTCGCGATGACGCTCAGCTTAAACCGACAACAGAGCTCTTACAAATGTTAAGTAGTTGAAATCAGAAACAGGAAATTTAAACTTAAACTGTAAAATAAAGCAGAAACTGACGAAAATGGTTTTCATAGCCCGTTTAACTGCAGTTTTTGAAAAGTCGAACATTTTCACTGTAAAATCATTAGCTCCAGAGACAATGATCTGCTCTCGTGGATGAAAAGCAAGACAGTTCACTTCCTATTAAAAAATAACATATGCAAAAAAAAATGGATATATTAATAACATATTAGATATGCACTGCAAATAATCACAACGAAATTTTCCACGAAAAAATACTTCAAAACATGAAGAATATCCCGAAACTTTTAATTAAGAAAGAAGAAATATATGACAATGAGAAACATATGACATATGATATAAAAAAACATGTAACATAAGAAACATATGACTTATGACAATGTTAATACTGAAAAAAGTTTTTACATGTGGGTAATCAAAAAAGACTTACATCAATGTGATCATAAAGAGTTCGAATAATTGGATGCTGCGCGTCAGGTCCATTTTCAGTTAAAGTTACTTCACCTCTGCAACACTGCAAATCAATAATAATAGACCAACATTAACTGTTTCCACTGAACTTGTTTCGAATTAAGAAAACGTACCTAACTTCGCGAGCAATAATTCTTTCAACATCCATAATTTTGATAGAACAATCTGCCGATCCTGTTGCAAGCAGTGTTCCTACAGCAATAACAACACCGTCGTTAAAAAAATTTAGGATCACCATTGTTTATTAGCAGAGCCAAAGCAATAATTCAGCTGGTGACATTCTGAGGAGTACAAAGCCTTCAGAAACTGAAGTACCACCAGTAAAGATGAAAATTAAGGAAAAAAAGGTGAAGTGAAAGGAATAAGGGTAAGGAGTCTAAAATTTTGCTATACCATCAGAATTGAATGCTGATGCTCGACAGGCTGACTTATGAGCTGTGAGATAAATGGTTTCATACATGCTCGGCTCCGGTGATGTTGGCTCAATGTCCGCATCATATTCCAGATCAAGCCCTGAGGATATATCCATCTAAAATCAAGCATATTACTGAGTGACTGAGAATATCGATGTTATGTAGTAGTAAGGAGTTCTGCGGACAGTGGTAGGAATCTCTAATGGACTTACCTGCATAATACCATCTTTCTCCTTCGGGTCTGGTTCATCAACGAACTGTTTCGCCATCGATACCAATCGAAACAGTTTATCAGATGGTGGAGGTGGTTGTGCTGAGCAACCAATTGCAGATGCCAAATTCAACGCCAACTGTTGATGTCCATCGTAGAAAAGCTGTCTACAAAGAGATGGGACTGACCTCCCAACCAATTCAGTAAAAAATGCAAAACAAGGCGAATCTCAGAATATAAAAGGAAAAGGACCAAAATGAACCACATGTATCAAGACTATAGATGAGACTTACTACAATCTTACTATTATATAGCATTTATTATGATATATTTGAAGCTTTCATAGACACTGTCGGGTTAAAAAGTTCCAGTTACAAGTGATCTTGGAGGTCGAATATGAAAATGTAAGAGTATATGGGAAAATTAAGAAAAAAATAGCGACATCCTGATCCCTAGATATAATAGTACTGAGGCACATCTACTACGGATCTCGCTCTCTTTTCAGGAGGTGGACAGCAGAAGCACAGGGCGTATCTTTAACTTAGGGCTTAAAATATCAAGTTAATCGTTTAGATGAAATGACAACAGAATACAGTGAAAACAACGACAACAAATATCAATTTAACCTACCCTATAATAAGTCGATACATGTAGTCACGGTCTTTAATGTCCGGTTTCATCGTAGTTCGTTCTCCTGAAATAATTCCAACAAATAGCAAACATTCATGCATACATCACGCTAAGCTTCAAAGCATTATTAATTACTTGCTTAGAGATCTACCACTTTAAAACCGAGGAGCTCATTCTGCTGAAGAAAAAGGATAGACCGGAAACTTGGGTAAATAAATCCCGGTGTGTATGTTTGCCCGAATCTCCGCTTAGCTCTCTCAGTTGCAAGTACTGCATTTAAAATAAATTGTACTGATGAAAAGTAGATCACAGAAAAGAAAGTGGCTGTAGTGACATCACTGATAAAGGAGAAAAGAGAAAAAAGCAAAAAATAAAAACATTGCAGAACGAAGGAGATCACACAGCGCGTAAATTACAAGAAAATGAAAGAGTATTTAAACGGTGGAGGAACTCATGCAAAGTCTTCGCATTGAGTGCGGTCTGCTACCAAATTTTTGTCTCGGTACGTGACTACATCACATTCTATCATGAAAATCGATGGGAAGCGTAATCTCATGGCTTATTTTTTTAACATGAAGTTCTGTGATGGCTTGTTGTTGGAGTGAGGTGACTGTCATTAAGAGTATTTATTAGTGGCCACAGTGTTATTTAATAAATGCAAAGTAAGTTTCCCGTATGCAGAAACAATTGCTATGCTGTTTTCGAATGTCTCCGTTTTAATTATTTTATTTTGATGGGTATTGATGTTTATAAACACCGGTGAAGGATGGGTGAGCAAAATATCGTATCACCTCAGTGCTGGACAAAACTACTCTGCTTAGCACAATCCGTAAACGATGGAAGTGATGGAGAACCAAGTCGATTAATGTCTAAGCAAGTAAGACATGCAAAAATTTTACCGTCTTCTCTTTAAATTTAAATCTAAATTAAGTATGTTGCAGCGAATATTATTTTTTCCTGAGTTAATTAATGGATGCTTTGTTGGGAAGTTTTCAGGATCAAAAATTTGTTGAGAATGCATTGGCTGAAACGGTGCACTTAACAGATCCCGTGAAACATATGACAGAGCACATTGAGCAGCTGAAACTAATTGGAAAAAATAAGGATGACGTTGATAGCATTGCGACAGTTGTAGATAATCTGGAAGAACTGGTTTGTGATATTGACTGCGCTGCTGACTTCTGCAGGTTGGGTGGCCTTGTTGAAGTAATTAGACTTTTGGTGAGTTTTTGATCTTTAATATCGATAACTAGACTTGTTCCATATTTTCGACTTGAATGAATTGAATTGCTGATGTATCATTTTACTATGGCTACTTTCAGAAAAGTGACTATAATTCAGTTCGATGTGAGGCAGCTCGATTAATACCATTACTAGCACAAAATAATCCATATGTTCAGAATGTCATAATGGAAACCGATTTAATGCCTTATTTGCTAACTGTTCTGGAAGATATTAATGCATCTGAGGTTCTGAGTTCTTTCGTTCTTTTTTCAATCAGTCTGTAGCCTTCTGCCTTTTACTTCTAAAGAAAAAGAATCTCAAATCTTCAGTGCTTTTAATTCCAGCAAAATTAGTGTTGCCATAATTCACACTTGTTGGGAATCACTAGTTCAAATAGTAGAAATTGTTTCTCTTCAGCAGACATCTCCATTCTTTTTTCTTATTTGCAGGGTTTATTGATAAAAGCTTTGAGCAGCTTGTCCTCAATTGTTCGAGCGCATGAGAAGGCATTCAGGCAGGTGTTTGACTGCTTGATATTAATTTCTGGAACAGACAATTTCACCTCTATGCAATGAATCAAAACTAAACTTAAGGGTTGACTAGATCTAAATTTCTGGAGTCTAAATTTCCTGTTAGTGTAAAAAATTTAGATCCAGCTGAAGTCATTAACCTTTTTCAGTCAGTTCTATCAACTGAAAGGTCTAGAAAGGGTCGAGGATGTATTCCAGAGGGCAGTAGATGGGCATCATTTAAAGTTAGCCAACAAAGCAGTTCTAATTACAACCAGCATAGCAGTTAGTCTTGGACCTGGTAACATTTGAATTATTCCAATCCTTTGCGTCACTTAATCCAGTATTTCTTAGATCTCAACTTTCCGTCTTTTATATATTTCAGAGTTTCCATTCCAAGTACTGTTACTCATCGTTAATCTCTATTTGATTATTACGGAATTTATTGTTATTGGCTTCTTCATTCGGTATCTTACATGGGTTCAACGCCGATACTTTTTTGATTTACTTTCCCTTACGACTGTATATGATACAATCGTAAGGGGAAGTAAATCAAAAAAGTATATATAAAAAAAATGTAAACTAATCAAGTGATATGTGTTTAGTGTAATCTTACATCTGCTGAATGCTATATATCAGCTTATTGACTGATTATTGGTTAGTCTCGTTGTTTTTGGAGAACTTCTAGGTAGTTCTTCATATCGTACTGAATATTTTATCGGGACGAAGAAATTATATAGTGAAAAAAAAAGTCAAATTAAAAGTAAAATATCCATCACTTCATTTTTACAGATGTGAAGCAGTATAATATTCTGTCCTTTTTATTTCGCATGACGCTACAGCTATCGTCAGATAGCGTTGGATGCTCGTATTTTTTTGATTATCTTATCAATAATATTGTGGGTAAGGAGGTAGACAACAGTGATCTCAAGAGTGATGAGTTCAAGATGAACTTTGTGGAACTTGACAATCATTCTAGACAACACTTTCGCCACTTCCTGAAAAGGCAATTGGAATATGAGGAACGACACCGTCATAAGGTGCGTTTTTTTAATTTTTCTAATTTCCATTCGTTCTTAAACTGTTTTATAACTGGTAGTTTTTGGGTAACTGGACATGATTCAATGGTTACAAATGCGATTGCAAACCCGTGTTTTAACTCTACCCACTATAGAATTTTTGGAAAAGAAATTAGATTAAAACAAACATTTCCGGACCGGAGAAGTCATTTAGACGATCAGAAACACAATTACATGCAAAACAGTTTGTTTTCAACTTCTCCCCATGCAAATGATATCGTTTCAAATGGTTTACTGAATGCTCTGATTTATTAATTTCATTGGGTTATGCATTTTTACTTCCCTAACTAAAGTTTCACTTCCTTAGATTTTATTGAATTCTCCTTTTTTTATTAACTGCTCTTCTTTACTTCCTTAGATTACCAACCGCAGCTTTGGCCAATTACAGGGTTGTTTAGGACGTCTTAAAAAAATGGATATGGTACTGGATGAAGAAATGAGAAATTTCAAATTGGAAGAAGTTCCGGAAACATCAAATAACTCCGAAAACATCAAGTGAATTCTTTGCACTCGCTTTTTTGAATTCTTGATGAATGCTATTTCAGACATCTTTGACTTTTGTTACATGTTTTGTTAACACTTAATAGTAATCCAGTAATTCCTCGATTAAAAAAATGTCATCTTTTCTGTTTCAACCTGAGGCTTCCCTTTGTCAGACCTTTTCGGGCATTTAACTCGCAAGTTTGTGCGTCCAATAACTACTGAACATGGAAAATGATCAGTTGTGGCTGTATAAGAGGTCTAATAAACTGAATGTTTAAATTAAGAGATATAACCTATCTTTGCTTATTCACTAAAATCTATTCGTAGACTCATTCAATGTATATATCCCGCGTAATAATCATTTGACCCGTGTGCAACTTTCTAATTCACTGATTTAAATCTCAGTATCCCTTCAAGCAAAGATGGAAATCTTTGCCGAAAACTGGTTGCAGTTCACCCTATTCTCATTGTACTGAGTGGGAGAACGGTTTCAACTGCTGATCAAAGCAGTGATTCGTACAGTCCACCACAAATCACTAGTATATACTGAATGGTTTTAGAATTATATAAGCAAATATGTCATTAGGATCTAGATTATTATACGCTGGAAGTTGGACTTCAGCAAATTCGAGTTAAGCTATAAATAAACTAAATACTCAATAAGTTGGCACAATCGGTTAAAGTGCATAGTGTACAAGACCAGTCAGGAGAACGCTTGGGCAAATATTACACTGTTGACAAGAAATAATCACTTTGCTAACATGGCTAAATAATTAGGAGTTACTAAGTGAATCCAGTATGTCATTATAATGAGAAACTGTTTGAAGACTTACATTTATTATTATTTTCTCAATAAATAATAAGTGGAGGCACTGTAACATAACTTCAACACCATAATAAAAAACCAACACTAGTAATAAAAGCACTAAATATAAGTGAAACAGGCTAAGGAAGTTCCTAAAATTGAAACCAAGGTCCTTTAAAATTTTGTTGATAAAATAGTATTTTTTTATTTGTCTGAAAAAATGAAACCTCAGTAAAGCCCCGAAATCCTATATGAACATTAAAACATAGGAACAAACGTCCACTTTCTCGTGGATATGAGGGCTACATCACACTTGATAGCATAAAACCATCTGTCTTCAAATAACAGAAAAAAAACCCAGCGAACTTTTAGAAATCATCACTAAATGTCTGATAAAAACCAAAAAGCTTTGCAAAAAGAGCTCCCTCTACACAGCAAACTTGAGAAATCGTGGGGACTCCACAGAAAACATCTATTAATTCCCTATTATTCTTTTGTGAATATATTATCAGCAACAACTTCAGTTTCGTTCACAGTATCTTGAGCAGTAACTTCACCCGAGATATCGATGGTACTAGCACCATTTCCATCCGTAAATCCATATGGTACATCTCGGATACTCACCAAGTGGTAGCGCCTCAAATGAATAGCAAATGATGCACGACTGCTGAATTTCCTATTACATGTTTCACAGTCAAATGGAGCATCCTCTGCAACAAAACACTTGTCAAAATTTAAGCTTAAAAATCAATGAAAAAATCCAGTTCATAATACCCGAAATACTGTTACTAAGCATACATTTCTCAAAATCTGGAAGCATCTAAATTTTTCTATTTTTTTTATTTGGAAAAGGAATCTAAAAATTCATCTTCATGATTCCTGAGCTGAGTAACTTATTTTGTCAGAGATGGGAAAAATAATTTCTCAGGCTTTGAAAACTTGAAGCTTAAAGTACATTAATCTGTAAAATAGTAACCAATTTGCAGATAACTAGAAACGAAAGCAACTAATGTCTTTAATGAATTAAAATGAATGATAAGCCTCCTTCAACCAGTGAAATCCTACGGTGAATAGCAAAAGTTTACCGCTATGCGCAACAAATATGTGATCTCGAAGTTTTGAAGGGCACGGGAAACGCTGCATACATGTCGAAATTTTGCAAGCATATTTTTTCAGTCTGACTCTTTCCTTGTGCCTTTTAAGATGCACACGATTCCAATGTCGTCGGGAATTATAAACGTCATAAAAAATCTTTCCACATTTCTGGCATTCATATCCACCTTAAAAAGAAAAAAAAATCAAAACTCTAAAGTCATTATTCATTTGAAATCATTTACAACTTGAAAAGTCAACTGTTCAAAATAAAGAAAACGACTAAAATCTTTCGCATTCCTTAGAAATGAAGCTGTTCATCTGAAATTATCCACCTTTAACATTATGGTGTTAAAATTTAGTGCTAAAATTCATAAATTTTCTGTTAAGTAAGAATCTAAACATTAAATATTTCAGTCAAGTAGTCAAGTAGTGTTAAAATATAATACTATATTTCACACAAGAAAAAAACACCTCTTTCTGAACAAGCGAGTGACACTTTTCTGGACGTTACTTGATCTTTCATTTCTAAAGCATCTGGTTGAGTTGGTATTTCCAAAGATTTCTCCCGATAGACATTTCCGGCATTATCTCTCTTCAGTTTAAATGCCTTTACAGATTTAGTCCTACCACAGCGATCACTACAGTCATTTTCCGTTATCGCTCCATCATGCTGTACTGTGGAAGACAGACGAATAGATGCTTCTAAATTCTGTGATGGTGTTTTGGGTGAAACATGATTGCTAGTAGGTTTCTGCATCTTGTCCATCGCTTCAATAAACCAACACATTGGAAAAGCTCAATTTGGATGAAACAACGTATTATTACAAAATCAATCGCCAATACCCTTATTTAAAATACTACCGCAAGCTACTGATATATATGTTTAGTAAATATATTTTGAAATCATTATTGCAAAGGTATAAAAAAAGGTTTCAAAGAAGCACGACTATTGTCAAAATATTCGATCCCGGTCAAAAATTAAGGATAAAACCTGAAAAAATGCGAATTACATTTCTTTATTTTTTTGCTTTTTTCCATTTTTTTTTTTTGCGCAAAAAACATGGAGATTCACACAAAAAAAGAATTGCTAGCCTCATTCCAAGAAACACAGGAAGACTGTATTGCTTTGGAATACAGCAAGACAAAGGCCAAATTAAACTTCACAACAAGTTTCTGTATCTTATTTCACCCAGTTCTCGAAGATGTATTACTAAAAAATCATTTCCTTGAAAGCCCTTTAATAAATCCAGCAACTGCTATCTGCAAAAAAACAAAAAAAAAAAAAAGTCTGCGCTCAATTACAACATACGCGGAAGGTTATCATGAATATTGACGAATTCGATTCCAGAAAAAGCATTCGTAACAACTGATCCTTCTACTGCTGAAGAAAACTTTACCTCCACAGGGAGGTCTTCGGAAACATTGTTTTCAGATTTTGGGGATTCTCCCAACATCTGATCATTAACAATCTGACTACTCTGAAGACTATTACAGTGAGCTTCCGTGATATGTCGTCTCAATCTGCAAAAAAAAAAAAAAAAGGAAAAATTTACGAAATGATTCGAAGCGTATATATTAATTCCTATGAAACTCAAAGAACTGCAAGAATCCGTGGTAATTCAATGTTTAATATTGCGGGTCGATTAACACAGCTGTTTAAAAGCGTCAAAATTACTGAAAAAAAAAAAAGTGCAAGAAAATCAGCAAACCAGCAATATGCATATACTTTAATTCAGAGAAGAAACAATTTACAGGAATGATTAAGGAAGCAGAAAATTTATACTCAAATATAATTATAACTAAACATAATTTATACTCGAAATATAATTTTAACAAACCTATTATAAGCTACCGTTGCAGCACATCCATCAACTGTGCAGCGAACACCATTTTCATGACATTTGACAACATGCTTTCTCAGTTCCGTTTTGACACTCGATGAATATGCACACAAGTGACATTGATGTACAATTTGATGAGCACGACGCATATGCGTGCGCAGTTCATTGAAACGATTAAAACGTTCGGGACAAAGTTCACAAACATTCGCCACTAAGAATCGTTATATTGTTTGGAATTATAATTTTGAATACAGAAAAGAGTAACTTGCAAATTTCCAAAAATATTACATAATAGTAGCTCATTCACAAAATACCCTACTGAATTTTACAATATCGGAACTAAACTTTCCAAATTCGGAATTTCGTAACAAAACTTACAAGAGTGATTTGAATGGATATGCAGGCGTAATTTATTTGGAAAAGGAAATCTAGCATCGCAGATCGGGCAAGCATGCCTTTTTTCTATCCGTTTTGCAGTCGCTTTTCGACGTTTTGTCTCACAACTCATCTGCAAATAAATTTTAATTCGATTAGCACAAATATTTCACTAAGAAACTGAATATTTGTGAAGCAATGATGAGTTCGGAACCAATACCGTAAGATACAAAGATGATATAAACTGATTTAAATCTGCATTTATTAGAGAATGTCGCGGAATTCAGTGAGCTATAAACACTCAAACAGTGGAATAACAACGAAGCGCGAAATAACATATTCAAATAACAAGAAAATCAAGGATATGAACTAAAATTTAAACAAAACGCAATGTAGGAAAAAGAACAGAAGTATTCAATTCATACAAATGAAAATAAAGTTTAAAATTACATAAAGCAACAGTATCCTGCGCTGTATGGACTGCTAAAGAGAAAGAATTATAAAGAGGCATAGACATGTGTTACATTAACGGGTTTTACAAGTTTTACAAAATTCTAATTTTGTTTCGCTATTAAGAACTCCTGTAAATGCATCCTGTCGGAGATGGGATTATCAGAATCAACGCTACTATCATCGGGTGATCCTACCAAAGCAAATATAGCATCTTCCTTAGAAAGAATCTCTTCCTGCAATGAAAAAATTTTTATTCCATATAATTTTATCAAGAACAATCAAGGCGTAAAGGTCGAAGAATCACAAGGCATAACATACGAAGTAAGATGGAAATACATATAAAAATAGCTAACCATTGAGGTATGAACGTCAGGTGGTTCCAAATTTAATGTTTTCGCAATATGAACTTGTTCGTCGGATGTTAATACCGAACAACTTGATTGGAAAGGAATGTTCTGTAGTGAAAAAATAGGTCCAAGACTCTGAAACAGAGAAAAAATTCCCTACCATAAAATTCCATGAACAAAGCTAAAATAAGTCAAAAAGAAGATTCAAAGCAGCAAAACAGAGCTCAAACTTTAATTGATATCAATAAATCATCTTTGTATTTGCAGTAAGATCCCCACAATCCGCTAAAAAACATTGAAGTAGAATGAAACAATATTTTATTCTTAACTCATTAAATGTTGTAATAACTACTATAGAATCTGATGCCAATTTTACCTTGTACTTCGTTTGCAATCTTTCAGCCAACCAAACTGGGTTCTTGCTTTGGTATTCCACAACTTCATTTATGGCACTTTTCAAATGTGAGATATCAATACACATATCAACATAGATATCAGATGGTTGATTATGCAACCATGAAATGAGGTTCTGAACCTAAATTTATTTTGAAAATGAAAAAGTGAAAAAAGAAACTAGAAAACAGAAGCATATATTATAAGAACACATCACAAGAGTAGCATACCTGTTCAGGCACCTTAATATATTGATGGGTAAAGCGGTAAGCTCTTCGGGGATCACTGAAGGCGGAGAATAGGTCATATAGGCAAATGCAAAGCGTAGGCTCACTTCTGATACTGGTAGTAGCTTTCCAGATTGCTTAGTGACA